CGGGGCCAAGGCTCCGCACAGCCGGGCGAGGGAAGGCTAGATGTCTACTCGGGGATGGGCACAACCTCCCCCCACCTCCTGCCACCGTAGGCCACCGGGACCAGCTGGCAGGCGCCAGGGCACGGCAAGGGCCAGAGAGGACGTCCGGGCCCACAGCCCCACTCACTGCAGTCAAGCTCGTCGCTGTGGTCGGCACAGTCCGCCCAGCCATCGCAGCGCAGCTCGTTTCCAATGCAGCGCCCCGTGTTGCACATGAACTTCCCCGGGCACGCTGCGGGGAGAGGACAGGCCTGAGGTCCGGGCCTCCACCCGCCTCCACCGCCGGCTCCTTGCCTCACCTCTCCCCCGAGAGCCAACCTCGCAGCCACACTGAGGACTAACGAAAACTGGCCTGTCCGACCCTCAACGGAGAGGAGCAGGCTGCCACGGGCACCAGAGGGCAGGGCTCTCCAGGTCCACCAAGCGTGGCAAGGGGGTGCTTATAGCCGAAACAAGAAGGCTGGGCCAGGTCCCTCCCGATGGCCCTTGGCCCAACCCCTGGAGCTCCGGGCAAAGCAGAGAGGGGCTGGCTGGGTGTTCTGTGGCCCCCCAAGTGCCAGCGCCCCAGAGCGACACAGAGCAACAGCAGCTGGGCAGCTCGGGAATGTGGGTGTCCTGTCCCATATTTCCCTCATCAAGGCATTTCCCGCATTCCCGTGTTTCTGAAATGGGAAGGTGTCTGACACCTGATGTCATCAGGCAGACGGCGAGGTTCGGGGAGACCACTGTCACTTTGTCTGCATCGGTAGCTTAGTCACTTATCCTAGGGGTTTGCTCAGCCAGTTTCTCTTGGTGGAGAGCCGTTGGAGAGCCATGCAGTTGAATTTTAATATGTTACCTTGCACTCCTGTGTACAGTTAAAATGTCTTTCAAAAGGCTATTCTCCAATGAAGGGCTGACACAAAAAAACCCCAAAAACATTTATACGTGGAAGAACCACTACTCACACCACAGACAGTGAGATTAAAGGCAACAGAAACGGCTAGATCCCTCAGGGACAGCTCATGCACCTGTCCAAGCCAGGAGCAGTTAGCGTGGTGTTGATGCCCAGAAGTTTCTAACATCCCAAAATTATGCTATTAACCATAAAGGTGCTATAAGGCCACCGAGACAAGCACCGATGATCAGTGATACCGAACCACAGGGACAGGGCGTCCAAAGGCACCCAGGGTCCTCGGGCTGAGGGGCCGCACCGGGGGCCAAAGGGCATGGTATGTGCCCGTGTTCACAGGGGGTCTTTCTTACATCCACGGCCCGGCCGGTGTGGCTCAGTGGTTGAGCG